CATGGCATAAACCTTTGAAATATATTTTTCAGTGTGTTATTTGCTAGAAACATGTCTTTGTTTCTTCTTTGATATATTTTGGAAGTTGAGATTGTAGAACAGTTTTAGAATGTTTGCATACTTACTTTAGGTGGGTAATTCTGTGAATTATGTTTAAACAAATTCTAAAGAGATTATAGCTGCCTGTGTGGACATGATCAAAACAAATCAATCATGTTCTGATCAATCTGCTTGTTTATTTAAACTATTATTGTAGATCCATGAACAATCAATTAGATTTCTACATGACCACTGTGATTTTGTAATTAAATTTTCTAAAATAACATGGATAACCCAGAAAGTCCATACTGTCATATCAATCATTTACTCTGAGACATACAAGGAAGTGAGGTAGTATCTTACCTGAAAAGGTAGAATTAACAATCTCCTTCTTACCTGTGACTCTAGATAGTTAGGTATTCCAAAACCACTTTTTAATCACAAGAAAAAACTGTTCTATCATTTTTAATCTCTTATCTAAGAGGTCAGAAGGGTTCATACCTGATCTGAAATTCTTCCATATCTCTGAGGTTTCAATATCTAATTTGAAGTGTTTTCCTAAATAAAACTTTACTTTTTTCATTACCAACACATCAAGCCCTGAATTGTCTTTTATTTATTTATTTTCAATGTATTTATTATACTTTAAGGTCTGGGGTACATGTGCAGATTGTGCAGGTTTGTTACATAGATATATATGTGCCATGGTGGTGGTTTGCTGCATCTATCACCCCATCATCTACATTAGGTATTTCTCCTAATGCTATCCCCCCCATTTCTCCCATGACCTCCTATTCCTCCCCTAGTACCCTACCCCTCAGGCTCCAGACTGTGATGTTCCCCTCCCTGTGTCTGTGTGTTCTCGTTGTTCAACACCCTATTATGAATGAGAACATGTGGTGTTTGGTGTTCTATTCTTGTGTCCCTTTGCTAAGAATGATGGTTTCCAGTTTCAACCATGTTCCTACAAAGGACATGAACACATCCTTTTTTATGGCTGCATAGTATTCCATGGTGTGTATGTGTCACATTTTCTTTATCCATCTATCATTTATGGGCATTTGGGTTGGTTCCAAGTCTTTGCTATTGTAAACAATGCTGCAATAAGCATATGTGTGCATGTGTCTTTATAGTAGAATGATTTTTGATTACCATTACTTTACATGTGCTCCAGTGATAGGGGAATTGCAAATTTTAATATAGGACATATATGTTAACTTTTGGCATTATTTTATTTCTAATGAGATCCCAACAAAGTATTTACAGTTTACTAAATATAGACCAGGGATTATAAATGTTTTCTGTAGAAGGCCAGATAGTAAATTTTTTCAGCTTTGTGGACTGTAGTTTCTGTTGCAACTACCAAATTATACTGAAAGCAGCATAGACAATGCATAAATGAATGAGTATGGCTGTATTCCAATGAAGCTTTATTTACCAAAATAAGCAGCAGGCCAGATTTGACCTGTGGGATATAGGTCACTTGTGGGTCATAGCTTGCCAATTCTTGATTTATACAATTGCCAAAGAACTGAACTAGATAAAAAGAGAGTCATTCCATTAATTGAGTGTTTAGCTTACTAAAACCCAACATTTTGATATTTGAAAGTACCCAACAGATGGATTGAATGTATTTAGCTTGAATCTGACTGTTTGACATTGTGTAAGTGGAGCCATCTATCTATGCTGTCACAGACTGTGGATGAAGGATGTAGGCAAACCAAATAGTCTGACCTTCTATTTGTCCCTATGAAAGTCAGCAGTAAATTCAACTGAACAAAAATGTAAGTGCTAGACATTGTTCTAGACACAGAGACCTAAAACTGCAGGTAACCACTTTTTGTAGTAAGTCGATATACCACATCATTATACACATTTTTGAGTTTGTCTAAAATTAAGTGGACAAAACATAATTTTCATCATTCTAGTCTCTCCCTCAGGCAGTTACTTCATTTTATGTGTGTGGGCATGATTTTTCTGGAAATAAACCTTTGTTAAATGCAGCAAAAAGTTAATTTTTAATCATAAAAGGGGATTTCCTTCAATCTCCTCCTAGCTTGGCATTTTTAAATTTTCTCTCCCTCTATAGGCTGATCTGACAGATCAGAGAATTCAAAAATCTTGTTATTTCTTTCTAAAGAAGTCATAAGCTGATCTATCATTTCTCCCTTGAAAAATACGAGGATTGCTTTTGAGATGTAATGGCTCTCAGATTTATTTATTATTATATTTGATTTTGTATTTTTGACATATCAAATTCCAAGCTAATGTTTTACGCTGCTTCACCCACAACTTACTATTCAATTGGTGCCTTTAGCATATCATTTCTCTCATCTGCTAAGTGTATCTCAGACTGTTATATGACTTTTCTCTAGATCTCTGAAATCATCACTGTCGTTTATGTGAAGCATGAAATTTATCTATTTTTGACTAGTTCATCTTCGGAATGTAAAATTTGCTGCTAGACAGCAAAATCAGAGTCAAAATTTTATCTGACGGTTAATAGTGTAATCCATTCCATCCTTATATAATGCATGTTTTTGTTTCTGCTTATAAAATGTTATATATAATTTATTATTTTTCTAATATTGTGTTTTCTTCACATCATAAGTTATGTCAGGCATGCCACTTAACACACTGATCATAATGACTGACCTCGTCTTCAACTATGTATTTTTGTTTTATACCTAGAGCCCTTGAGATTTTATTTTTGTTGAGATAGGTTTGTCATTGCCCTTAAGTATGTAAAACCCAAAACCTGGGCAGCTATTAATATAGACCACCTTTGTCATCTTCACTATCTACAACAGCAGCCATATATTGAATCAGATTGACCTATTGGCTACAGAACTTTTGGTGGTGTTTTCTGGTTGAAAAAGATGCAAGCGACACAGAAAGAGTGGTCTTGAAAGGGAAGCCCAAAGTTTTGCAGGCGTTGAAGTTATCACTGCAGGAGTGTGCGTGCAGGGGGTGGACATGCGTGTACAGAATAAAGGAATGAGCTAGAGTAAACTTTATTTGTCTTATTTTACGTGTTAAGAAAAGCATCTACCTTTTTTGTGAACTATTTAGGCAGTGTTATTGTGTCTGATAGTTGCAGCTGCTGCTTCTCTGTTCAAAGGAATAGTTATGTGACTCATGTTAAACCAGTCATGGTATCTTATCTCATGGCAATGATGACTTGTTAAGATCTCTCTCTCTTTTTCTTTGTTTTTCATAAAGGTGTATATATTTAGGGTCCCCCCACACAAGATAATCCAGTATAAGCCACTCCTCTCAGAATCCTTAATCACATTGGAAAATACCTTTCTTTCTTTCTTTCTTTCTTTCTCCTTTCCTTCCCTTTCCTTCCTTCTTTCCTTCCTTCCTTCCTTCCTTCCTTCCTTCCTTCCTTCCTTCCTTCCTTCCTTCCTTCCTTTCTTTTTTTTTCTTCAAAGTAAGGCAGCAATTCCTTATTTGGAATCCAAGGATTAGGACATGAACATATGCTTTTAGAGGGTGCCATCTGGTTCAGTACAGTACCTTTCCATAATTTCGTTTTGCAAGCTAAAACTTTCTTTCTCACTGCTTTAATTTTTTTCAGTTATTATGTTAGTTGAAATTAGGTTTTTGCCAATAGCATCTGAAGGAACCCAAGAAAAAACATGTTATTATGAGATATCCTGCTAATTCAAGGAAAAACATAATGTATATATTAGAAAAAGAAAAAATGAATTTATACACATAAAAATTTTGACCAATAGCCATCTAAATGGTCAAGAGATCAGTGAAACTTCATTGACTCAGCTGCATTTAAGAAGCAATAACATCACAGTGTTCTTTTTAACCAAAAAACACCATATAAACAATACTCATGCAGTAAAGAAGATTATTATAAAATAAATTGTGTTAACTTATATTTCATATAAGTAGAGAAATAAAGACTTTTAAAATAATTGGTTTGGGTCAGGCTTACCACTTTATTATTTGCACCAAAACCCAACCAGATTAATTAAATTTTCATGGGTAAAAATTGAATAAAGTATTATAATGAAAATGTGGAAAATAATAAAAACTTTTCAGAAGAAAAATATTTTAAGTGTATTGCGAAAAGAAGGATATAGAGGGTTAAAAAAGTGTTTAACATTTAAATTTAAATATTTAAAATTTATTTATGTTAGAAATGACATAAAACTAAAACCTCAACAATAACTGAGATGTTATTCAAGTATATGGCAAAAATTAAGTACTCTTGAAATATTTAATACTATTTCAAATAAAAAAATTACATATAATGATAGAAAAATAAAATGATATAACAAGTTATTTTGCAAAAAAATGGCTAATTATTGTCTACCATTAAAGAACTGCAAAATAGAGCGATGAAATATATACACTGTAATGTTTTGTATTTAGCAATATGCATTAGATATTTTCCATATCGTGTAGCACATGTAAATCTAATCCATCCTCATCAATGTTGTCCTGTATTACATAAAATAAATGTACCATTTTAGTTTTCCATTTCTCAAAAGTAAAACGGTGGAATTATAATTATATCTAGTCTCTTATCCTGTTTTTCTGGCCCTATATGGCAGTAAAATTTATTGATGCTTAATATGTCAGTACATAATTAAAGGTCTTAACTATATACATGCTATTGACCAATCAATTTTACTTACTGGATTATTCCTATACATCCATTTAAAGATGAGCACAAAGATTTAGTGGTATTTATAATAGAAACTAATATTCTAACAACAGATAATTAGACTTGCTCCTCTGATAATTTAGAAGACTGGCTATACTGAATGTCTTGATTAAAACAACTAGAAATATTGAATACACTTTTATCTATATTTTAAAAAAATATATCATTAAACTGGCAGGAAACGAAGCATTTTCAGCGGCAAAATTCTAAGTGAAAGTGAGGATCTAAATAAATAAGTGTAGCAGTGAAGCTACATTTGTCCTGTGGGCACTTTTCTTTTTTTTTTTTTTTTTTTTTTTTTTTTAGAAAAAAAAACACAGAGCTTTATTGTTCTCAACACCAGCGGCAGCGGTCTCTGTAGGACTGGGGAGTGAGTTCTGTTGCCTGACAGGGATAGGTGGCTCCTACTTGCCGGCGATGAGCGGGTTCCGCAGGACCACAATGACTGAGTCCCCGCGCAGGAACATCTTGGAGATATAGCGGTCTTTGTTGACTGGCTTAGACTTCTTCTTGCCCTTGCCGCTCTTGGGTACCTCAGTCCACATCTCCTTCACGTTCTCCAGCACCATGTTGCAGTGCCTATCGAAGGCCTTCACGCGGCCCAGGAGTTTCTTATTGTTGCGGCAGTTGATAAGCACTTGGGTGTTGTCTTTGACGGACTGAGTGAGCACAGAGAGTGGACCCGTATTAAATTCCTCCTCCTCTCGCTTCTGCAGCTCCTCCGGGGTCATCTCACTCTTGGGCTTGTTGAGGAGGCTCATGTTGGTCACTAAGCTCTCGGTTCACTCCGGTTTCCCCTGTGGGCACTTTTCAATTAAATCAACTTTAACTTTGATTTTCATGGCTTTGCAGTCCATCAGAGATGAGATATAGAAGATCTAGTAGGAAATGCTCTTCGTAGAACTAGGATCACAATAGCCTAATCTCTCAATTTGTGGGCAAAGCAAAAATTCCATCGACCTCCACACCCACATGACATATATTCTTAGAAGAGGAAAAATAAAAACAAGAAAAAGCTCAAGAAAATATCTTGAGTTTTGTTCCTGGATAGAAGGAAAGAAGAAATCTATCTCATGCAGTTTCCCCTTCCAAATTCTCACTACAAAGGTGATCTAAAAAAGGTCAAGCCAAGAATTTGATTTCAATAAGCTTCAGATTTCCCAGGTTTTTAGGTACCTGGTAGACAAATATTGCAATTTTTTAGGGAGTAACCCAACTTCAGTAGGAGTCTCAAAGGAACCTCGCTTGAAACTTCATATAACATGATTTTAACAATTAGGGGAAAATGAGCAAAGAAACAAAGCATAAATGAGGCTAAGCAGGAGAGCAAACAAAAATAAATCTCCCTGGGCATGGAATATAAAATAAACACACTTACTAAGTGCAAAAATAAATAAAATGAGATATTCTACATGTAAACATGTATTACACACACACACACACACACACACACACACACACACACACACAAATAGAGAGATAATCCTTTTAGGAATTAAAATGAATGAAATTGAAAGGGCAATAAATTGGCCAATAACAGATTAAATTTAGGAAAGGATTTAACTTCTTTGAGCCAGTTAATTCACCTATGAAATTAAAATACTTATAACTGATATTTCACAGGTTTCTGTGTGAATCTAATGCCTTGTATGGGTAAGCATTATAGAAAAAAAGCACAATTTGAATTCCATTATTTGTTTGTTGTTGTATGTCCATATATTACCTGTTATCTGTAATCTTCACATTACCCTTCCACCTCAAAATATGGTCAGGCCATTATTCTCCTCTTCTTAAAAGACAGATAACCAGATAACCAGGGTTGGGGGGACAGGGAGAACATCAAGAAATCAAATCTAGGTCCTCAGCATAGGAAAGGAGACATGAAAGAAGGTGTGATCAATCCTAGCCATTTGGAATGATTCTAAGAAAAGCAGAGTCCAAATCTCACTGCTCTTAGCATAGAGCTAGAACAGTGTCATGGAGATTACATGACTTCAGCCAGAACATATAAGAAGAGAGAGGGCCAAATTGAACTTCATTCCCACCTAATTCCTTGGCAATTTGAAAACTCTGACATAATTCAGATTTTCTTTGAAGAAAGAGTAGAAATAACCTGAAATTGATAGAAATTTTATTTTGGGGGGGGCAGAACAAAAAACTGAAATAATTATTGGTTTTGAATATTATAACCAAGAAATAGGTTTTCTATTACTCAAATTTTCAAATACGTGGCTCAAGATTTATATTTATGATCACGTGTTCAGTGTTCATCAAGTATTTATTGCATGCCACAATAGTAGTGTTCAGACACTATATAAGCATAAACTAACACAACGTTATGCAACTCAGAGAGTGCATGTTCAAGAACTTTAATAGAAGAGCCACCATTATTATTATACACTACAGGAATTTTATTTATTTTAAAATGTAAACATCAATTCATTATATTTCCAGTCTAGTACTCTACTCACCTATTCAGCTCGCATTTGGTATATTTTTACATGTATCTCATGCACTGCATAAGGATCTTTGCTATGAAAATAGTTTGTATTGAAGAGTTTTCAGCAAACTATAAAGGAAAAAAAAAGAAGATAAATGCCCAGTGATTGCTTCAACATCAGCAGTTTTTCAGAGGTCAGCTACCTATATTAAATGTTTAAATATTTATATTAATATAATAAATATTTAAACATTACAATCAGGTTGAAAGGCCTGTGTGAAATAAAACTTAGAATGGTATTTCAATTCAAGTACATAGAACAATGTTTCAAGCTCAATGACTGATTAAGTTTAAAAATTTCTCAGAAACATTTTGATATTGAAATATATTTTAATAATTCTTCATAAATAGATTAACAACTAAAATAAGAACAGAAATGAGAACTATTTATTTCTGAGTAAAGCCAAGTATAATAACCACATCAACGCTTCCCTAATGCTCAGATTTTACCCTCATCAATTGTTAAACACACTTTGCTTTATTTTTATATGTTGGCTATTCATTGCTGCATGAACAGTATCAAAATGTTTCTGAGAAATATATAACTTTCATCAGGCATATTTAATCATTATAGTCTTTTCTCCATGACAGTACTATTTAGTGATACATAAGTTGTTTGATTATTCACCTACCTACATGAATGTTTTGTTTTCCATATTTTTATTAACATTGTAGATACAACAAAGGATATATTTGATAATTCCAGGGAAACTCCCAATGACCATGAAACATTATATAGACAAAAGCAAAGGTGGGCATGGACTGCAACTTCCAGCTGTGAAAGACAAGCTTGTATATTGCTAAGAATTAGAAAAGTTGAGTACCAGATAAAAATATTTGTTTGAAAGCCTCAGAGAGCTTGGAATTGTGGGGGATCAAGATGCCTAAGGGAAGGAAATCAAAGAAATGAGTATAGCATTCAGAGCTGCTTTACCACAAAACACATGCTGGTTTTAAAAAGATAGCTGAAGAACAGAAAAGCTGAACAAATCTTTAACCAGCCTCATGGAATGGTGGTAGAAAATTTGAGTTTAGAGCTAAGGAAAGAGAGGGCTTGGTAACCCCCCCAAACATTTAGTTGAGGCCAAAGGATTATACCCAAGATGAAGTCCAACTAAAACAAAGAGTGATTTTTTTCCAGAAACTAAAACTCAGCTTCATATAATTTCAATTATAGACTAAATTAATTAATAAAAAAAATTGTGAGGCATGATAGGAGACAGACCTAAGGGCAAAACTAAAAAAAAGAATAAAAATACAGAAACAGACCCAAAGAGGGTCCAGATATTAAATTTATAAGAGAACTCTATATTACCTGCATTAACATGTTAAGAATTGGACAAAAAGATGAAGAGTCTCGAGAAAAACAGAAATATATAGCAAATACTCAAATAGAATTTTAAAAAAATACAATATTTGAAATCATTAAACAGTACATTGGATGGAAATAAATGATGGCTTATTGAAATGGGAAATAGGTAAGTAAAAAAAATTCAACTTGAAGCTAAAATAAAGCCAGAGTAGGAGGTATGTATAACATGGTGAAAAGTTCTAACATGTATAATTGGAGTTTCACAAAAGAGAAGAGAGAGAGAATTGGACAGAATATCTGATAGGATATGTTCTGATAAATTTTGAAAAATTTATAAAACCATAGATTCAAGAAGTACTAATTATTAAACAAGATTAAATTTTAAAAACACATCTAGGTATATTGCAGTTACACTTTTAGAAAACCAGAAGAAAAAAAGAAATATTACATTGAAAGAATAAATAGCGCCGTTAACATACTTTTAAACAGTCAGAAAAAAATGGATTGACGTATTCAAAGTGTTGAAAAGGAAAAATCTACCCACAATTTAATAACTGCAAAATGTTATTGAAAAATTAAGGAAAAATAATGATATTTTCAAACAATCTGAGAAAAGATAGCACCAATAAATCACATCAAATAAAATTTTAAAGTAAAGTGTTAAGGTAGAAGAAAAATAATTTAAAACAGAAAAAGAAGAAACTACATTTACTGAGGATAAATATGTAGATAAATCTAAAAAGATTTTAACTATCTAAGGCAACCATAACAATATCTGCATATTAAATATATACAGATATTTGAATACAGGTGAAAAAAGCCCAACATTTAGAAATAGGGATAAATGTTCTATGGTCTTTACCTTGTCCAGAGAGTGGTAAAGGGGATAATTTATTAATTTATATTGGACATTAATAAGTTAGGGGTGTATGTTGTAATCTCTAAAATAAGTAGTAAAATAGTGGTTAAAATTATAATTAATAAGAAAATGGAAAAATAAAACTTTCTGATTGATTTAAAGCATATCAAAAGATAGAAGAAATAGAAAAAATACAGTAAAGGCAGAATAGAAAAAATATGTGTTACAATGGCCACTCTAATGCAATATATTAGTAGTTATATTAGAAATAAGAGACTAAATGTCCCACTTAATAGTCAATGAAGGCAACTCTTAAACAAAAATAAAAAAGAGCTGTATGATGGTTATAAAATATATACATTAAATATAAGAATGCACAAGTTTAAAAATGAAATAGTAGAGAAGTATTCATGCAAATGAGCCAAAAGAAACTTGATTTTATATTAATATTATGCACAATAGACTGTAAGCCAAGAAACATTATTATAGATAAAGAGGAATATGTCATAATGATAAATGGTTCAATCCATTGGTGAGATAAAACAGATTATCAGTCTGTAGGTATCTTAAAATATAGCATCAAAATGCATACATTAAAATAGAAATCAAAGAAAAAATATACAAATTAGCAATCATGATGGCAGATTTTTACCATACCTCTATTAGTAACTGATAGAACAAACAGAAAAAGAATCAGTGAATGTATAGATTCAACAATATATTTAACAAAATTATATAACTGGCAGATCTACATTACTGCCACCAACAATAGAAAAATACATTGTTTATATGTATACTAGGAATATTTCTCAAAATACACTGTGTACTAAAAATAAAGTAAATCTCAACAACTTTCAGAGGATTAAAGTCATATTGAATATGTTCTCTCTCAACAATGGAATAAAATAGAAGTGAAAAAAAATCCTTGAATATTGGAAACCATGTCATTTATTATAATATCAAAAATAATAAGTACCTAGGAATCAAGGAAAAGTGTGTCAGGTTTTTACACTAAATACTGAAAAAAATGAGATTAAAAATCAAAGAACACCTGAATAAGTGAAAATATACCATGCCTCTGGTTTATAAAACTTGGTATCTGTGAGGATATCATCTCTTCTCACC